GAAGAAGTAGATGAAGGAGTCGAAGGACTATTAAGACAATGGATGAGAAAGGGGACGAGGTGAAAGAGGATGACGTGGAGTCCATGATGACGAGTAGGCTTTGGCAGAGGAGGGGGCCTATGGATGGAGAGGCGTAGGAGAGGTATGTAGGAGGAGGGGGGAGAAGTGGACTATGAAGGAGGAGGAGGCTATTTTAAGGCTATGAAGAGGAATCTATGGTGGAGGAGGAGTGGCAGGTTTAGGGGAAGGAGGAATCTATGGTGGAGGAGGAGTGGCAGGTTTAGGAGAAGGAGGAATCTATGGCGGAGGAGGAGTGGCAGGTTTAGGAGAAGGAGGAGTTTATAGATGAGGAGGGGGAGGAGTTTATGGCAGAGGAGGAGTAGGAGGAAGAGGAAAATGCGAAGATTTTAAACCAACCGACCTGTGTTCCTCTTCTGTCGCTGCTTGTTGTTTCGGAAGAAGGTGATTGCTATTTAACAAATAGATAAAAGATATCCATAATTATTCATGTTTGAAAGTGAAAGTTAAAAATTAGACTCGAATTTTAATGAGACTATGCCATATATAGAAAACACATATATAGAAATAGACAGTGAAATTTCTAGTTTGAGGTATATTTGAAAGGATTATGCGATTTTCGTGCGTTATAGTACTATTAAAGCACAATACAGACACAAATCAACTGTTCCCTTTTAAATGACATGAGCTAATCTCACACTCACAGCAATATGAAACATTTATAACTCTATTAGATTAAACCATGTCTGGCACAACTACCAATGATATATATAATTTAAGTTTAATTGTGTGTGTGTGTGTGTCATACGAAACTACGTATGGTTTTTACATGTAAATAACACACAAGAACGTAGTTCACGCCCATTTGGAATCATTAGAGGAGTGGCTTTTAACCTGTTTTTGTATGTGTCCCCAAATAGAATCGATGAATTGTAACCATGATTGTATTGAATAGGTCTATAGAATATTGAATAATAGTTGTGGTGCATTTAACTGTAGTCTGAAATTTGTACTGTATTGAAGGGAAGTAACTCACTATTGTTTATTTTATTAGCCAATCAGTGATTTGCTCATTTGATGCTACCTTTGTAGGTCTGTTTAATAAAAATGTCTATATGAAAATGACCACGTTTTCTTTTTGACCACGAATTATCTTTAATTTGTCAAGAGTTGGCTATAAGTATAGCCTACGCCACAATTGGATACCAGACACGTTCTCGCATAGTTTGATAGAAATAATTCTCTGATTACTCCTAGTGTAGTTATCATATGAGATGTTGTTGGAAAGTCTTTATTTTTCACAGCATGTGACTGGCTGTGACACATCAAATGTCCCCAAAAGAAAAGTGCAAAAGTCCCTACATGTCCCTGGGGTTGAAAACCAACGCACTAAATCGAATAAGTCGAATAACAGGTTATAATATATCAACTAAGTTTTCAAATCACATTTAAAGCCTAATGCCAATTAAAAAATATTAAAGCCTTTTAAACTAACAATGGCAAATAAAGATAATGAACTTGGCATCAGCCTAACTAAAGGGTGTAAAGGTTTAGATTTTAACTTACAGTGTTTTCAAGTTCTCTTTCTAAATCCGCTGCTAATTCATTATAATCAGCCATTCGCAGAGCGGCCATAAATTTGACAAAAGCATCGGGACCACTTTCCAGTACACTGGCCAATATCAGAGCGATAGCTTGGTCCGGAAGGCGAAGAATAGTTCTAATTTCATCAGGATCCAAAATACCAACTGTAATCAAGGGAGTTATAAGTTGCCTTACATAAGCTCCAAGTCTCTTCTCCAGCAATTCGAGGTTTTTTCTCAGAACTATTTCTTCACGTTTACCTGGGCTACCCCTTTCCTTACAGGCGTTATAAGTTCTCTTTTTGTCAGTCATCTTTCTGAAAAAAATATTGTTAATTTCTTTATACTTACAAATATGTTTGGAGCTTAAAGCTATCATACTCTTTAAAAAAGATTGCCTGTCCTCCATTATATCTAGTTCTCAACCTTTTTTTTGGGTTGTTTCATCAATTATCGTTATGTTTTTGTACAGGATATGAGGAAGATGATATTGCTTCTTCCTTGGCTGAGAATCAAAATCTGATCTCCTAGTCAGCAAAGTACTTCAACCACCCAACCTACTGGGTTGTCTCCTAGTCAGCAAAGTACTTCAACCACCCAACCAAACGGGTTGTCTCCTAGTCAGCAAAGTACTTCAACCACCCAACCTACTGGGTTGTTTCCTAGTCAGCAAAGTACTTCAACCACCCAAATAACTGGATTGTCTCCTAGTCAGCAAAGTACTTCAACCACCCAACCTACTGGGTTGTCTCCTAGTCAGCAAAGTACTTCAACCACCCAAATAACTGGATTGTCTCCTAGTCAGCAAAGTACTTCAACCACCCAACCGAACGGGTTGTCTCCTAGTCAGCAAAGTACTTCAACCACCCAACCAAACGGGTTGTCTCCTAGTCAGCAAAGTACTTCAACCACCCAACCTACTGGGTTGTCACCTAGTCAGCAAAGTACTTCAACCACCCAACCAAACGGGTTGTCTCCTAGTCAGCAAAGTACTTCAACCACCCAACCAAACGGGTTGTCTCCTAGTCAGCGAAGTACTTCAACCACCCAAACTACTGGGTTGTCTCCTAGTCAGCAAAGTACTTCAACCACCCAACCTACTGGGTTGTCTCCTAGTCAGCAAAGTACTTCAACCACCCAACCTACTGGGTTGTCTCCTAGTCAGCAAAGTACTTCAACCACCCAACCTACTGGGTTGTCTCCTAGTCTGCAAAGTACTTCAACCACCCAACCTACTGGGTTGTCTCCTAGTCAGCAAAGTACTTCAACCACCCAACCTACTGGGTTGTCTCCTAGTCAGCAAAGTACTTCAACCACCCAACCAAACGGGTTGTCTCCTAGTCAGCAAAGTACTTCAACCACCCAACCAAACGGGTTGTCTCCTAGTCAGCAAAGTACTTCAACCACCCAACCTACTGGGTTGTCTCCTAGTGAACAAAGTACTTCAACCACCCAACCTACTAGGTTGTCTCCTAGTCAGCAAAGTACTTCAACCACCCAACCTACTGGGTTGTCTCCTAGTCAGCAAAGTACTTCAACCACCCAACCAAACGGGTTGTCTCCTAGTCAGCAAAGTACTTCAACCACCCAACCAAACGGGTTGTCTCCTAGTCAGCAAAGTACTTCAACCACCCAACCTATTGGGTTGTCTCCTAGTCAGCAAAGTACTTCAACCACCCAACCAAACGGGTTGTCTCCTAGTCAGCAAAGTACTTCAACCACCCAACCTACTGGGTTGTCTCCTAGTCAGCAAAGTACTTCAACCACCCAACCTACTGGGTTGTCTCCTAGTCAGCAAAGTACTTCAACCACCCAACCTACTGGGTTGTTTCCTAGTCAGCAAAGTACTTCAACCACCCAACATACTGGGTTGTCTCCTAGTCTGCAAAGTACTTCAACCACCCAACCTACTGGGTTGAAAAACGAAAGTAGTATTTAGTCATTCTCCAGAAAAATGGATTTCACAATGTTGTGTAATATCCTATATATAGATGTATTCCCAGAGAAAATTATCATAATACGTATATAATGAATTCAAAATGGCGTATTTTTGTTTCGTTTATTGTCAATATTACATTAGGTAGATGTATGAAAGGTATTTTGTCTTATTACACTGGAGTGTATACATACATACAGTTGTAGCCTCTTAATTATACATGAAAAAAAAAAAGTTTTAGCCGATTTGCTCTCCATGAAAGCGTGCTGTAAAATAGCTATACCTGTTGAATGTATCAATGTTAATCAAATTTAAACGTCTCGTGGCCCCAGCTATTGAATTTAACTTCCGGTATCAAAGGACAAAAAGCAACTTTCTTTCCAGAAATTTACCGAAAGGACAAGTTCGCCATTTTCGATGTTTGATTTGGGTCTTGAATATATAAAAATGGTTTTCAGAAGTACGAGAAATGTACAACAATCTAGATTGAATTCTAATTTCTTCTAAAATATCTCAATCTAGGAATTTCTTTTCTTAAATAGACGTCCTTTCTAAACAGTGAAAACAATTTTTTATAGTATGTCTTTTCTATATATGGGAGTGTCTCAAGACAAGACGACTCGGCTTCGTTCAAACGCGGATAATTCTAAACACACATGGATTTGAAGACTCGACTGTGAACTGTGAACACTATTACTGAAACTAAGGTACGTTTGGTCAAGCGATTGGAGAATCTGTCCATTTAACAATTTTAGTTTTTCTGCGATATATGCCAAGTGATATGAATTATAAAAATTTGGCATAAAAAAAAATTACTTACCTTTTAAATAGATTATGCAATAAATCAAATCAAATAACGAAGTTTTGACAATCAAGGAAGTTTTACCGCCTCCGACTGTTTCTAAAATGTAGGTGCAATAAAGAAAAATGAATATATTACATCCTGGTACGATTCATATACTAGACGAGTGCAGACGAGGAGAAAGCATCAGAGGTGGACTGTCTAGACTGTCTGGAATCGTTCGGTTCCTAATACAGAATGGGAAAAACAAACATGCCTTGGCTTTTATCTAATCATAATCGGGTTTTCCCCATTTTATTTTTAGGTACATACAGTGGCGGCGCCTGCCTTCCTAGACTGGGTTACAAATAGGGGGCAGACTGACTCAATGAGGGGACAACTGCTGAGGCCGAATTCAAATTTTGGCTACTCTGTGGTGGTGTCATATTAGCAATCCTCTCATAGAGCGTCTTAGGGGGTTTTCTCAAGAAAATTTAAAAGAAAAATCAATTTTGTGCATTCTGACACATATTTTGGAGAAAAAAGGTAGACAATTAGATTTGTTGAAAATAAAGTTGGGGTAAATTCGGGATGCAAATCACTTTTCTAGGGGGCAAATGATCCCCCCCTCCTCCGCCCTCTGTACCCCCACTGGGTCCAGGATTTTCCTATTTATAGAAGCGGTCGATCTAACTGGTATATTATTGTGCGGTAACAACCATCTTTAAACATCTGTGGACAAATTCAAATGAACATGATTGGAGAGGCAACACTTTTTTTCTTAAAATTTAGTTGTTATAGAGTTGTCGTACAAGCCAGTCGCATAGAGGGCGTCGTATATGTCATAAAACACATTGCTCCTATCAAAATCTGAAAATAATGCAGAACGTTCTAATGTATTCAACGTCGATCTTGGTAATCGAGTCAAATAGATTGACACCCCCACGTGATCATATTCACTAATAATCTGTTTGAGAATGTTGACCCCTGAGAGGTCAATATACGTCATATAAACGCAATCCAAAATAATATACTGGATTATCTCCCCTTCGTCTTTAGGTGGCGCTTCATGATCTGGAGCCTCGTTACCACTCTTCACTTCAGCGTCCGAAGTGGCGATTTCCTTGCAGGATTTCAGCGATTTTGGATTGAAGACATTTTTATATAAAAGTTTTTTGAATCGTTCGGCATTGACAAAGTACAGTTGAGATTGGAAAGTGAAGATTCGGACACGAGGCAGATCGTCAGCCGCTGTTTTGTAAGACTTATCTAGGAAAATCTGTTCCCCATCCGGGAGACTGACAGTGTATCCGCGGGACAGCTGATTCTGTAGGATAATTGATAAAATAGAAACTGAAACTCCGACCACAATACCTATGTCTAGATCCACAAGAACACCGACTAAAAATGTCGCTAGCCAAATTATAAAGTCAGGTTTCGACACCCGCCATATTCCAGGCAAATTCAGCAGTTGAAGTAGCAAATTTTTCATGGCAACCACAATCATGGCTGCCAATACAGCAACCGGAAGTGAGGCAAATAATGGCCCCGCAGCTAATAAAATTATCAAAATAAAGATGGCGGATACAATTCCGTTCAAAGTTGTCTTAGATCCTAAAGACTGGAGGATCATGGTTCGAGGTGGAGCTGTGCACGATGGAAAACACAGAAAAAACGAGCTGATAAAGTTACTCATGCCGTAAGCAATAAGTTCTTGATTGTCGTTGATTTCATAATCGTTGAGTCGGGCCATCAGTTTAGCCATGGCGATCGTCAAAGCAAAAACTAAAATGGCGATAACAAAACCATCCGTAGCGACTCTTGGAATTATTTCCAAATTTGGTAATCTTGGAGCTGGCATTCCCGTTGGAACATTGCCAACTATAGCTACACCATAGTTATCCTGAAAATTGGCAAAATATGAAATCATGGTTGATACGATGACTAATATCAGGTCGATAGGAATCGGGATTTTCAGCTTCGCCTTGAATCTTTCGTTGATTCCAATTTTTACACCCAGTAAGATAAACATTGACACGAGAGCAACAAAAAGATCGCCCAGGTTGGTAGAGGCTATTCGTGAAAAGATGTCAATGTATGTTTTCACCAATTTGCCGGCTCCAGCATATGGGCGGATTTTAATGTTCAGCATTTTTCCAATTTGACTTGTAGCGATATGAACGGCGGAGGCTGTCGTAAATCCACCAATAAACGACACGGACAGGTAACTGGTTAAAAATCCCAGACGCAAGAATCCCATAACTAATAAAATAGCTCCCGCCAAAAAAGTCACCGCCATAGCAACGTCGACTTTATACTCCAATATAACTTCCGCTGTCATTGTACTATTGACGTCACTGTTGCTAAGGTTAGAAGCGACAATTCCGCTCTGGAAAATTTCCGCCTCACGTTCAACAATGGAGGCAGTCAGAACGGCAAATAAAGCATTGGTTCCCATTGAGATGTGAGGCGACGTTCCGAATACCAGATACAGTAGAACGGGATAGAATGACGTATACAGACCGTAAACAGGCTGTAAGGACGCAAGCAATCCGAGTCCGAGTCCGAGTGGTAGATGAATGAACCCGGCTGAAAGTCCCGCCAAAACGTCATTCACAATGAATTTTAAGCGATATGACGTCACCACCTTTATAATCGGGAAGAACGCTAGAAGGGAGGTAATGAGTGATTGTACAGAACAAGAACACAATGATTTCATCTTCTTTTTACAGTTAAACCCTGGTGGTTCTTGGCGCTGGTAAGCCAAGTCGACATCATCCTGGGTATACACTCGCCTGTTTATCCTTATCTGGGCCTCCATTTTTATTTCTGAAAAACAAAAAATAAATATTCAAATCAAGTTAAAACTCTTATTTTAGACCTATTGTTAAATTTTTGCAAAATTATAAAAAAAAATAAGATGAAAATTGAATAATAAAATTTAAGAAAAAATAAATTTTCATTATTCATTGTTTTAAGTGAATTGGGATAAATACATATATAGTATTTGATTGAAGTTGATTCCCCAAAATTTATCTGCCGTTCACCCCTAGCACTATAAAACAAAAAAGAAAAAAAAGAAGAAAAATTACTGCACCAAAACCATGAAGCTGAAAAATATTTTTCTATGAATTCACCAATTGTGGGAATGCATAACTATTGATAACTAACAATTCGTACAATTGGAGAGCTGATTCGGGCCCATTCAATTCAATTCCCCCGCTTTCTAAATTTCGCCCCTCAGGATTTTGTATTCACGAGAGATGATATTTACATATCAAAGGCAAATTCAATTCTCACCTCAATGTATAATTCAACCCCAATTTCCAAACTTTCTAAATTTAACCCCTGCGGATTTTGTTGAGACGCACTTTGTAAACGAAAAAACTATGAGTTGAATTTCATACGCTTCAGGCGATCGAGCAAAGTTAAACTCATTGAACAGGGTTGAGAAGTCAACAACGAGACAATTCCCATATCTAATTCACAGCTGAGTTTCAAATTGATCGTTAAAAAGTTTTCTAACCATTATGTGTATTGGTGACACTCTAGGCATCAATTTCCATCATTCCAATTTCCAATCTGACGCCTGTGGGTCTTGCAATTCCACTAAAACATGACGTCACTATTGCAACGGTCCTTATATCGTCATCAAACGCCTAGTTTTAGTGAAATAGAAAGACCCACGGACGTCTGACTGAAAATTGAATTGTTGTAAATCAATGCTGTTCCGGTACACATACAAAATTTAGAAAACCATTTTACAATCTCTTTAACTTCAGAAATAATTGATAAAATTGTTATCTTTAGTTAAAAATTATCTGTATCTTGTAGTTAAATGTTTAAGTGGCAATATGCATGTTATTTTATATCATAGGATATAATTTAATGCAGTTTAATTCTCTTTTCTAAATTTCTATTTATATTGTAAACACTCCAGTGGTTGAGATAAAATAAAGGCTAACAAAATACCAGTGGTGGGGCCAAAGGGGGACCCTCGCATCCCTGAAAGCAAATTTTTCTGTCAGAAATCTCATAATTAGGTTAGAAATTCGGGCAATCTCAGATATTAACCCCCCGACCCTCCCGCCCCCCTCTCCCTCAGACGTAAACCTGGCTCCGCCATTGCAAAATACCGAACAGAAGTTTGGTTTAATTTTGATAAAGTGCTGTGACTTTTTCTACATGAGGTCCACAAGCTGTCCCGGCTTTGCCCCCCCCCCCCCCCCCCCAT